TGGAGCTGAGGAAATGCATTCAGACACGTGAGGTGGCCAATAGGAGCTTGTTTATCAATCTTGTCCAACGTGTTTCATGTTAACCAATCAGAATTGGCGAGATCCATGCTACCCGAAATTTCAGGGTCAAGCTGGGATAGGCAAAATTCTCCAGAAAGTCGTAAAAAAGGTAGCTCTGAGAGGCCACAGACACTAGTCAAAGGGTGGAAAGTTGAGTCCTTTGGCTGGCTTTTAACCTCTGTTATCTCCACTATAACTAAGAGGAGGAGGATACTTCACTGTTGATCTTTTTCTCTTTAGGAACTTTCTTGCCATAGGTAGTAAAGGTATGAGCTGAACTTTGCAGATCACAAGAGTTCAGTTTGTTCAAAAGAGATTGTAAACAGGAGAAGAGGAATGGTGAGGGAGTTCAGAGAGAACTCTTTGGGTTGGTTTAAGGAAAGTAATAAGACTTTATTAGCATATAAGTATTAAAACTTCTTGCGAACATCTTTTTTGTGTGTGCTTAAAGGATTAGCGGAAAGAGTGTTCTTTGACTCAATCTATTGACTTGTAACTTATTAGATTATTTCTTAAATAAAAGTAACTTTTTGCTTCAAGTAATAAAGTTGACTAAAGATATAGAAATAATTTTTCAAAGTTGGAAGTGGTATAATATCTTTGAATGAAAAAAAAGAAATAACTTAATCAAAGAATATATTATATCTAAGATTACAATACAGCTATTTTATTATTAAAAAACAATAAATTAATATATATAGACCAGCTTATCAATTATAAAATAAATAAAATTAAAAATTGGCTATGCTTTAACTCATTCAAAAAACAGATAAAGGTCTTATCCTAGAATAGTTTCTAACTATAAACAAGATACTTTCCAGAGACCTCCTAAATCAGTTTATAAAATCTTGAAAAATAGATTGAACTAAGTGAAAATAAATATATCCTATAGTAAGCTTTAATCGAGATAAAAGACAAAAAATATGAATAGTTAAGAAAAATGATAACTATCAATTAACCTGAAAAAAACTATTATAAAAAAAAGAAGAAAATAGGATAAATATTGAACACTATAGTTGTTAAAACAATAAAAACAACTAAAAGACAAAGTTAACAAAATACCTAAGTTAATTAAAAGACCATATTCAAGAAAACTATTATATAATAGAGAAATATAGTATATAAAGAAAATATATACAGTATTCTATTTCAACACAAAAAAGAATACTAGAAGAATCCAGATACTAACAATTTTAAGCTCCAAAATATCTCTAGAAAAAGCAATTAAAAAAGCAATATATGATAATAAAATTTCATCAGAAGATTCTTTCTTGTAGTCTTTTTTCAATATTTCAAAATAAATTATATAGATATAGAAAATTGAGAAGAAACAATTATCAAAGAAAATAGACCTGTGAATCAATAGCACAGTGGCAGTACTTTCAGGTTACAATCACAAGGTCTGTAGTTCAATACCACTTAAGGATCAAAATCAAAAATTACCCTTTTAATTATATTTATCAGTTATCCTGTGAAAGTTATACCCAATTATCTATAATCAGGTTAGGCTGTACAAAGATGGAACTTCTGGTCTTCTATCAATCAGTGGCTGAGATCTATAGTTGTACTACTGGAAGGATTGTATGAAGAAAGGCTTCTGGTTTAGTCTACTATAAATGTTCCACAAATCCCCTGCCTTGGCAGTTTCTAGGACCCTATCCTTTTAGTTCAGGATATCCCTTCACTTAAATGAAAATTAGTCAAATAAGACTGATGCAATATTATAGATGGTGATAAAGAAGGTAAAATGTCTTCTTCCGAGATCTGAGTGAATAATATCTGAAAGTATTGAAGAGTAAAAATAAAATCCCATTGGGTATATACTATACAGACTAGTTTGGTGAATATAATAAAAATTTATAAAAGCTCAATACTAAATTAGCATGTTTCACTATTGATAACTGTATATTAACCATCTGGTTCCTAGCTGGATCTGCTCCACTCACAGAGTGATTGGTAGGTCCACTTAGGATAAAATTATGATAGGTTATCATCAATGTACATGTATATAAAAATATATAGCTTGTATGAGATAATTGATATAATGCCTAAGATTTTATTATTCAAGATGTTAAGTTAATTCTTAATAAAAGTGCTCACATCTAATATCAGTTGTAGTTTAAAAAAAAAACAATTATTAAAGAAAATATTAAAAAAGGAGTATATTAAGATTAGTTAATAAAAATACTTCAACATAATTTAGAATCTAGTCAAAAGTTAATTTTCTATTCAAATGACTTATTCATTGATTATGGAAGTAATAATATGAAAATAGAGGTAATATAGATTCAGATAAATGATATAGATATAGAAAATAGATTTCAAACAGGAGTAAATAATTGATCCTTATTTATACGAGCAAAATTGATAGCAATAATCATAACATTTCTAGTAGTTTCAATAGATAGCATGGTTAAAATCTTTATATATAGTTAAGCTTATATCTCAAAATGAAAAATAATTAAAAAAAATGATTCAAAAAGAATATACAAGAGATACTAAAGGATAAAAACTGATTATTATAGATATACAGTATATAATAGAATTGATCAAGAAAAAAAGTTTAGATCAGAAATTTATCAAGATTAAGATATACTTCAATGATCTACTATATATAATAATAAAGCAGATGTTTTAGTCAAAAATGTTCTCAAACTCCTTGTAATAAAATAAAAAAATCTTATTTTATATAAGATCCCTATCAAAATCAAGTAATAAGGTAAAATATTAAATAATCCTGTTAGACAGTTTATTAAGAAAGTAAACAATAAGATCACAACATATTAATGGATAGCATAAAACAAAACTAAAAAGAAATAGAGCTATCAGATCAAAAAATAACAAAACTATATATAGGATCTAGTATAAAAAAGAATATATAGAACATATTTTTCAAAGATTTATAAAAAAAGTTTTCTTATTAAGTTGATGAATAATGAGCTACTAATATTAAGCAAGCTGACAATTAGAAGGCCAGATCTATATAAGCAAGTAAAATATATTATATATGATTCCTGCAAAAAATAGACAATCAATTAATTGCTAGAATGTTTAGTTTATAAAAAGCAGATTAAAGAAGCATGAAACAAAGGTCTTAAAGAAGTTCTTAAGAACTTTAGAAAACTTTTACAAGAAAAAAAAAAAGAAATTGTAAAGGAAAATATAGGACTAATAGTAGACAATAAAAAAGAAATGGGAAAATCAACAAGTGAATATCTAGACTAGTGAAATAAACTTTAATAGCAAGTTAAAATATATTAAGTTTTTATATAGAACTAATAAGAAACAAACTGATTCTTGAATTGATGGATCTAAAATGTTATGATAAAAGAATTGAAAAAGAAGTAAGAAAGTGAATAAAGAAGATATAAAATATAATATGTAATCAATTCTGCAAGAAAGTCTAGAATGCAAGATGTGAAAAGATAATAGAATAAGAAAGAATATAAGAAATATAGAGAAATGATAGGATGAAAAGACCTATTAACTTTCAAGATCATAAAACTATACTATTGAGAAGAAGAATTCCATTATTAGAAAAAGGAAGACTAGAAAAGTAAAACTTGAAAGACATTTTATCAAGAGAGATCAGGTTCAAAAGAAAGTGATTGGATTTTGAGTTCTGTTGAAACTTAAAAAAATGATCTGCAGTAGTGACCTGCAGTCAATGATATTAGGAGTTGGAAGGATTTTTACCTGAATTCTTAATGAAGTGACAAATCACTTCCAAAGTTGCACTTAGAGTAGTAATTACAAAGACGAGTGAGCTAGTTAGAGTTCTTAGCTTTAGCAATTCATATTATAATGTATAATTTACAATTTTTTAATAAAGCACGCATAACTAGCCTGACAGAGGGTTTAAAAAAAAAAAAGTATATACATAAGGGAAGTTGGTATTTTTGGTTTTTTTATCGTATTACAGGAATCTACCAATCAGGGTTAAGAATAATTAAGATCGCGAATTTTTTAATAAAAATTTTTTTTAGATTACAACTTAAAACTCCATTGCATATATTTAAGAAATGTCGAATAAACCAATTCATATGCTACGGGAGGCATGGTCAAAATTTAAAGGAAAAACGTCTTCTAGAATTCAAATTGGATACAAAAAAAAATGGGTTCACCCGAAAGATAGAATTGAAAGGTGGAAAATACTAGAGGGAGATACGGTATGGACTTTGTCAAAGGGACCGAAGATCACCGGGGAGTCTTCTGTATCGAATAACTAACACATTGATTCGTAGGTAAAAGTTATTGCGGGTGACGATAAGCACAAGATCGGAAAGGTGAAACAAGTAGACAAATTCTCGAATCGCGTCTGGGTAGAAGATGCAAAAATGGTACGTGTTGAACATAATAATAAGAAATTTGAACATCCACGCTTTATTCGCTCTAATTTTACTTACATAGGGAAGGATGACAAAAAAAGTCTCAGAAATTCAAATGGATGACGAACAATTAAACAAGGATAAAACCGGGGGCTGGTGGATGCGACATTCTTTGAAAGCAATTCATGTGTCAAACGTTATGCATATACATCCAGACGACCTGAAAAAGTAAGTGTAGTGACAAAATCTGAAATCTATTTGGATCAATTGGTGACTTTCATATTCTTCATAGCGATGTCATCCCGGAAAAAGAAAAGTAAGATATCCTCTTGAAAAGGAGAAGCTTTTGTATTTAAACAAAAATATAAATTTCTTGAATAATTGAATGATTTCAGGAGACGAATTCGAGTTAATTGGAGAAAAATGGATGTAGATGGAAAAGGTACAATACGGTGGCGACGTGTAGTTTGTGGCACAGATACCATCATTCCATTTCCTCCAAAACAGAAGGAACCAGGATATGAACAACAAAGTATGATTTTGATTCTAATTTTACCTTGATTTCATAATTATTTTTCGTAATGTTCTGATTTATTCAAAATTTTAAGAAACATATTACGATACAAACTTTGAGGATGCAAGTCTGTTAACATGGAATGTTTCGAAGGAGCCACCATTACCTAAAGGTGTAATAAATGAATTACGCAATAAGCATAAGCCGTGGAGATATTCTGCTCATCTAAAGAACAGACCGTTTATTTGATACTAACACCTTTGCAATTAGTTCTATATATAAATTCACTGATTGATTGTAATTACCATAAACTAAATAACCATCTTGTCTCCGCTAAATCTCGTCGGTCAATTCAAATTTGAATTACGTGTTTCTTCCAGTCTTTTAACTATAAACAAGCTAGTATCCAAAAATCTTTCAACACAATTCGTCAAACAGGTTTCTTCACCACGATCAATTTTGTTACTGATTTTAGTGATACATTTGTCCCAGCAGAGATCAGTGAAGGTATGAATCGATTGTTGAAGTCTCATTTTGACATTTTCCCCTTCAAGAAATTTGGCAAGTTCTTTCTGAGAAGCTTCATCGAACTCGGATTTCGCGGAGAGACTGGACATTTTGGTTTAGGAACGTTTTAGAAGGGAATAAGTTGATGGTGATATTTGATATATTTTTTATATTTGTTTTGATTGGTCGATAAAGTCGATCAAAAAAACTTTTTTTTTGTGAAAACAAAAGTAATTCAAGCAGCATGGTACATACTATAGCTAAACATTACATCAAGTCTAATTGATTCATTGTGATATTAAAAGTTTCTAAGTTTGATCTTGTTTTCATAATAGACTTTAAGTAAAGACCTTTCTAATTTATATATTATAGTTAACAGGTTATTACTATTATATATTCTATTAAGTTATTAAAAATACAGGAAACTATAAGTCAGATTAAAAAAGTAAAAGGAGATATATCTAAAAATACACAAATATATAAAATAAAAGATAAATAAAAGATAAAATTTATTTAATCTGTTTTAATAATTTATTTTTAAATCTTTTTTTAATAAGAAATATTCTATTGAAATATTTTTTCTTTTTTTGATTATTTAAAAAACTTATTTATTTTTATTTTTCAAAAATCTTTATATTTAGTCAAAAGACTTATTTTTTCTTTTTTGAACTGTATAGGTCCTCTTAAAACTTTTACTTTCACAGTTTTTTAAAAATTTTTACCTATTTCAAGTAGATCTTGAAATTTGGATAGAATAATTTTTTATTAAAGATAATTGACTAATATAAAATATATTGATTTATAGAATATAAACAAGTCTTTATTGGTCATATTCATATTCTGGGGACCTGTAGGTCAATAATGCAGTGGGTGCACTCCCAGGTCACTATTCATGAGTTACTGGTTCAATCTCACCTAGGAATAATTTTTGCAATATATAGGTTACATTGTATAAAATGCATGCTTATCACTACATTTTTTTTTTTTTTTTTTTTTTTTTTTTGGCTAGCTTGGCCAAGTTTATTAGCAAAGTTTAACATATAGGTACATATGACCAGAGAAAAACTAATGAGAAGCTAGTAAACTAATGATAGGTTGAAACCACTTCATGGCTAAGCTATCTCTAGACAGAAACCTAATGAGGGACCATTAGGGCGAAAAAAATTTTTCATATAAGGAATTATTGTGTGTAATGAATCTATGTCTACCACTGACCATTCGGTCTGTTAACTAATGTGTTTAATACCCTACTCTACCATCTATGTCCAGAAAAGAAAGAGATAAAATCAAAACTATACAAATTTAAACAGGGGTGAAGATTCTGCATTACAAAAAAGACACTGGACAGAGAAGGGGAAATGGTTTGATTATCGGCAACTTGGAATCACACTACTACTACCATATTAATACTGTGGGCTGGTTACTCTTCGAGGGCTTCATCAGTTCAGGGCACAATATCTGTTCCTTCACTGCTTTCAGTACCTCTATGTTGTAGTCCTTATCTACCAGTTTTTGCCTTTTTCCTCTATACCCTATCCAGTATGGGATCTTCTACAGATGTTCTTCTGGGTGATGATAAGTCGGGGATTTCGGAAGGCTCTAGAACATAGGGGAAGGTGAATGGGCACTGAAATAATTAGAGACCCATCATCCAACAATCTGTCCTTCTTTACTATTACGATAACTCCAGCCTAGAAAGGAGAATCTTGATACTTCCAGCTTGCACCTTGTTGGACTTGATAAATATCATGCTGTTTTCCTCAAAGTACTACCATCTGTAGAGATTGAACTATTTGTCTAATGTCCCAGTATGGTGGATACTCTACCATGGGTCGTTCGACTGCATGTTGGTGTTGTTAATTAGGTACAAACAATCCTAGGATCTCTCTGATCTTCCAATATTTATGCAAATAAAGAATAGGCGTGACACTTTTAAGGCATCCTCCTCGTTCTATGTTCCTTTGAACCTGGTCTTCTTTCTTCTTTCTTGATAGAGAGAAGGGAAGGATATGTTCTTTCTCTTTTGCTTAGCCAAAAATGTAGGAGTAAATAGTGTTCGTTATTCACCTGCACCAACACATTGACTTATGGTGAACCTCAGGTTCTTATAGAGCTGAGGAAATGCATTTGAACACATGGAGTGACCAATAGGAGCTTGTTTATTTCTTTTTACTAATGTGAGCTCTGTCTGCCCAATCACGGTGTGAGAAACTTTGTGCTACTCAAAATTCAGGGTCAAACTGAGGTGGCAAAATTCCCCAGAAAAAACCAAGAATGAGCACTATGAGAAGCCAGAATAGATGACAAGAGAGTAGGAAAGTTGTCTCTCATCATCACAGAACTTCTGTGGTATTTCTCTACGGTATGAGATATCAGCACATTAGTTCTTCTTCCTTTCGGAACTTTCTTGCCATAGATAGAAAAGGTATTTCTTGACCTTTAAGGTCACTAAAGGTCAAGTTTTTATTTGAAGAGGATAGTAAGCAAGAAGGGGGAGGAGGTGGTTGATGGCACTTGAAACTTTTTCAAGTTGGTTTAAAGAAAGTGATAAGACTTTATTAGCCCAGAAGTATAAAAACTTCTTGCGAATATCTTTTTTGTGTGTGGTCAGAGGATCAGCGAAAAGAGTTGTTTTGCACATACTCATCACTACATACTTCCTTGTACTCATAAATAACCTATAGATTTCCATCATCCAACTATGGTGTAAAACTCAGGTCCTCTAAGCCTTGACCAGTTTTAGTACTAAAGAAATCTTCAATAAACCTACCATCTGAAATATGTAAAAATCCAAGACAAGCTAGGAAAAATGCTAATCAGTTCAAGCCTCTTAATGAAAATAGGAAGGACATTCACCTCTTGTTCAAACTACATCCTATGGAAGATAAGGGAGACTTTAGTCCTTTGTATCTATCGAAATGTAATGGGCCGTAACAACAATTAATGAAAGATCTCTATGATTGCAAAATCAATAGCTACCAAAGAGGACAGCTATTACAGAGACTAGTGATTAGTGTTAGCACTATGTTGGGCAATCTGCAGGGGCAGACCCTAAGAGAAGAAATTCAGAAACAATTATTAAGGTAATCAATTCAATGGGAGGAGCAATCTATTACGAAGTAATCAAAAGAAACCTCTGTAAGGCTAACTTGCAAGCGTGGTTAAAAATAAGGCAATGGAAAGCTATATGCCATCCAATTATGTGATACCATTGAATCACCTGAATATCAAGAACATGACTGGAGATTTGCATCATCAAAGTTTTGACTAGCCTGTAGAGAACTCAAACATGGCAGGGATTATCCATAGAACTCACGATTATCAAGTGGTAAACAAGATCTTACTAAGGAATACACAACATAGCCCCTTGAGGATTAATAATAAGAAGTCTATATTGGTCTTTCAGAATGCTATAGTCTTGGGCAAAGCAGGGCAATTGATGAAAATAGTATCACTAACATGATAAAATTTGTGAACTTGATTAGGATAAGTAGTTAAGAATAAAGTTATATGAATTTCTCATGTAATCCAAAAAATGTACTACCAATTCCTCAATAAAGATTTGTCCTGTCAGTTGAAATGGTTAAAAAAATATATATATTTATATTTTGAAAAAGGATTGTTGTATCTATATAATTACTGTCTTTTGTAAGATTATAAGTTCTATTGTAATTAATATTGATTCTATTTAATTAATCGAAACTATCTTTGGAATTATTTAACCTGTTGTCTAACAGCTTGAGCAATTTGTTTAAAATAGTTATGTGTTCGTGAAATGTGTTTATCTCCATTGTATCTAGGAGTTGGTTGGCTATGTAACATATGCAATGTTAAAAATTATTTCATTATCATATATCTTAGTTAAAGAAAAACTTTATTAAATGTAAACTAGAAACAAACAACTCTGAGTTGTCAGTAAAAGAAAAAGATTGTCTTTAAATATATTTTTTCCCAATATAAATAAATATAATAAAAATACATAAAATAATATATATATAATCTTAGTGGTTCTCTCAAAAAATTATATGCATATAATTAATAAAATAAAAATAAAAATAAAGAATAATATGATAAAGACAATTATAATAAAATATAATACTAAACAAGTAATATATATCTATAATATCTTTTGTATAGCAAACATAACTATTACTATAAATTTTTTTTTTTTTTTTGAAACAGCGACTTAGCCTTGTTTTATTAAAGTTTCAAGTCAGGACAAAATACAAATACAAGAAATAATTACTAATAAAACATTCCTAGAGTTGTCTATAAGAGTTAAAATTTTATGTTACTACTACTAAGTTGATTCCATAAGCTGGTTATTCTTTGAGAGCTTCATCAGTCAAGGGTATATTGCCTATTTCTTGGCTGCTTTCAGTATCTTCATGTTGTAAAATTTTAACCACTTCAACCCACGGAATGGCTTGTTGTTAGAAAAAATAACTTGGATTAATCTAATTTACATATTGAGAAAAAAGATTCATCGATTCTCCTAAATTCTCCCTGATATACATGCTCAGGTGAGACATATCATTCCAAAGAAAAATTTGAAGAGAAATGGTTGTGTTCGAAAGATATATTGGTATATGATAAGGGAGTGGGAGTATTAAAACTCTTCAAAAAGATATTATCCCAGGTGTTGATATATCTGTTGGAGAGGAGAAGAAGGAAGAGATCTTTATTGGCTATCTAGTGAATCCTATTCCAACAGTTTTCTTTCCAAGATGTTACTGATGTAAGAGATTTGTTTGTTTTATATCGACTCACACACTTAAACCAATTGACTTATGATGGACCCCAGGTTCTTATGTAGCTGAGAAAATGCATTCAGACATGTGATGTGACCAATGAGAGCTTGTTTACTTCTTTTACTAATGTGAGCTCTATCTGTCCAATCATGATATGAAAAACTTTGTACTATTCAAAATTCAGGATCAAACTGATATAGGTAAAATTCCTCAGAAAAAATCAAGAATGAATATTATGAGAAGGCAACAAGTGACAAGAGAATGGGAACGTTGTCTCTCATTATACAATCACTTCTGTAATGTTTCTCAACAGTATGAGACGATGGCACATTAGTTCTTTTTTCTTTCAAAACTTTCTTGCCCTTGGTAGAAAAGGTGTTACTTGACTTTCTGGTCACTAGCAGTCAAGTTTTTGTTTGAAGAGGAGTATTAACAAGAAGAAAGAAAAGTAGTGATGACTTTTGAAGTTTTTTCAAGTTGGTTTAAAAAAAGTATTAAGACTTTACTAACATAGAAGTATAGAGACTTCTTGTAAATATCTTTTTTGAGTATGATCCGAGGATCAGCAGAAAAAGTTGAACTATTACTATAAATATATTGATATTTGTCTATATGTTATTAGTAATTCAATCTCATATTACTTTAAAGCTTTGGGATCAGTAGTCAAGTCATATGATTTAAAATATCATGTGTTATAACAAATCATTAATATTTTATAGCTAAAGGTCTAAATCCTTAATTATATTGAAATCCTATTTGATAATATTTTTCTAACTTTTAATAAAAAATGTTTGCTTTATCAAAATATCCATAGTTTCCTAAGACTATTTAAGTACTTATCATTTGACTTTTAGATGTAAAGTTATACTTTCATTGAATGACTTAAATAAACTTGTTATAGATTGGATTAGCCATTTTGTTATGCTTCCTGGAAATATTTGTATTCAGATTTTTATCTTACTATCAATTGTTGAATTTGATTAAAAGATTGTAGCTACAAGAATTTTTGTGAGATTTTTATTTGATACTCTGATAAAGTATTTGTCACTTCTTTTATCTATGACATTTATTTTGTTGTATCCTATATAAGTAATTAAAAAGAAATAGTTGAAGTGTCAGCAGTATTTGATTTTTGTGTAGTTTTGATCATTATTAAATTTTCTTCCTATAATGAGATTGTTATTAATTACATTAGTATACCAAGCTGATATACTTGTGCTAATAATTGCTGGTTTGATTTGGATATATATATTTATTTTATTGGAGTTGTACAGATTTTGTTAAAAGTTGTTGCTATTGTTATTAGTTTACAGAACCAATTTGGCTCTTTTCTTTTAATAGTTTTGTTGTGTAGTTTTCTGATTTAATATCATATTAATGGTTATATTTTATAAGTGCTGATAATTTATTCGATGAACTTAACTTTGTGATGTTTTAGGGATATTCTATATTTGTTATATTATTTTGAATTTGCAATTTTACAGATATGATATAATTATTGTAAGTTTTCTACTTTGTCTATTTGAAGAGTTATTATGTTATTCTTTTAAAGATTATAAATAATATCATAGTTGAATTGTGTCTATTTTGAAGAGAATATGATATTTTTTTAAGATTCTTTTATTTTATCAGGTATATTATTGAAGGTTTTGAAGTTGATTGCAGATGATATGCTCTACTGTATTTAAATTATTATAAAGATCTTGTAAGTTTTTTACATATTTTTGAAGTTATCTGGTTGCAATACTATAAATGCTATAGTAAGTTTTGAGATATATAATATGACTGGATCAAGAGTTGAAATTATTAGGTTTGCTTTATATTTTATGTTATATTTGATTTTTCTGTTGATTTTGTGAGTTTCTACTATTATAAGTATCAAGTTATGGATCAGATATTCAATAATAGAAAAAAAAATATTATTTATAATATATTTGTACATTTTGTCATTACTTGTTTTTCTTTTGATAATGCTATATATAGAGTTCAATTTTCACCAGATTAGATTTCTTTAATGTTTCTTTTCAGATTTAATTTATGTTATATATCTAGAACTTTGATAATGTTTTGTCTACTTACTAGTTCTATATTACAATTGTTAATTTTGATGCTATATAATGTATTATTAAGAATAAGTAATTTTGACTTGTGGGATTTATTGTTATATTGTTCAGGAGATGGAAGGAATTGTGAATATTAATGATTTCAGCTAGTTGAGATCTGTCTTGTGTAATGAAGATGGTATTATTCAAGTATGTTATTATTGATATATTAATTTTGAAGGGAGTTAAA